ACGACGATCACACGTCGGGGTCACCAATTTGTGGGAAGAGGGAATGAAATACAGAAGGCACTTTCGCAGAACGCTTTATTACTGGTTGCATGCTATGCGTGAAACGCACCGCGCCCGGGCCGTTGAGCGGCGTATCGCCCTCGAAGAACCGGCGTCGCAGCGCCGATCGGTTTACATTGTCGTCGCGACAATACGTTTTACGATTGGATCGTTGACTTCGATCACACTTTATTACGCGATACGAGTATTACGTCCGGTTACGTTACACTTTCGTCGAATCATTCGTGCAAGTTGGCCGTGGGCGGTAACGGAACTGTGTCACACACGACGTGTCTTTCCGTTTCAATTCGAGGAGTGTTGGTACACGTAAGGCATATCGAATACACTCGATCGTGATCGCGCCACAAGTTGCGTTCGTCGCGCGAAACGTGAAAGAAAAAAGGCGATCGACGATCGAGCACGAAAAAGAGTATTTACGGAGGGAAGAGATTATCGGCGTGGAACGATCCAATCCACACGATCCCCTTCAGATCTTCGCAACGCAACCATGTTCCTTCTTCAGATGGTTGAGCAGATTGAACTTCATAGGCATGATACTGTGGCAAAAGGGACACGTGTACAAAACTCTGCCGCACTCCTCTCGAACGTGCCGATTCAGTGCCATTCTCGATCTGTACGTTTTCTTGCACTCGCAGCACGCGTGGAAACCTGAAAGGAAAGGAAGAAAGGTACCTTTGAGTAGCTCGCTCGGCCCAGTCACATATTCGTCACGAACAAGCTTTCGCCCCACAAAAGCATCAGCAAAGCATAGCATATTTCCTCCTCTTTCGCTCGTTTCCCCTCCTGCACGTTCCTTCGTTCGAATTTCGCGGCAGATCTATCCGAAACATTGTAACACAGAGATACGCGTGTCTGCTCATATCTGCGGATTTCATCGTAGTTCAAATGTTTTTCATCGACGAAATATTTACAAAAGGTAGCATTCGGTGAAGAAAATTCACCGCTCCTTTAAATTTCAACACAAAATGCTAATGCATTCCGTTTAAAAAATTCAAAGTCCGATTAATATCTCGTAGGCAAGTAGGTTATTTAAAGAAAACCGTTTCAGCATCATATGTGACCTTCGATACCGTGCAATTTCTCTATAACGCACATTTTTCTAAAACACATTCTTTAGAAGTTACTTGAGGTGGATAAGTTATGTGGATCACCCTGTATATGTGTATATATATATATATGTTTCTGCCTTTTCTTGCCTTCCATTTAGTAGACCTTTAGTGGAATAAAAGGAACCGACGAAAATTCCGTACCCGAGCGCAACCTTTCCACCCTCAATAAAACAGTACTTCACATAGGATTTCTGGACAGCCGGTCACCGCACGGGAGAGAAATTGCAAACATTATTATTTCCTAACATTTGCTCACTTTCAGGGATCCTAAGACGATTTTACAACTCACAAACCACACCCATAACAAAATAGCTACACCAATCGGGAAAGCACGCATCCACCTCCACGTGCAATCTTACACCGATAGAAAAATAGTAATAGTTAATAAAAGACAGTTTTTCCAGCGACACACCAGATACACACGGCAACTTTCGAACAAGTTAACACCATACATTCTCGCACAGTCGTACCTTGTCAAAATACACGCGATATTATAACAGTAAACTCTTTTCGTGCTTTATTTCTCCAAGTTCCCGTGAACTACCTAGGTCCCGTATCCCGAGTAAATTCCTCGAGTGGTTCGACTGAAGAAGAGGGACAACGTAAACACGAGCATACATTCGATCGATCGATCGTTCTCGATCAATACGCAAGATTCGACACGTTCTATTTTTATTCGTCGAAAAATAGTTGGAAAGCATCGTGCGTTCTTTATCTGTGCAATATCTCACACGTGTCACGGACACTTTCCGAGTACATTAAACGACTCCTATTAACGTTACAGAGAGAAGTCTCTCCCGTCGATCGAATGATATTCTCATCCACCGTGTTACGTCGGAGTAACCCTTTATTCCCAAAGGTTTCAATCGATGCTGAACTCGTGTTCGCTCGAACAAACGAGGAATCGTTTCACCCTGAAAATTTATCATGCAGGGATATAAATCCCCCTTTTACTAACGACACACCGAGCTTTTCTTCCACTTGAACACGTTGCTGCACGAACCGCGAGGATCTCTGAAACACGAAAAATGAATTGTTCGTTAACATGGATCTGAGCAAAAACAAAGTCACGTGACCACCTTTACCGTTCTCCTGAAGTAATTCCAGCCATGGTCGTTTAGCGTTTAATCGCCGAAGAGAAAAGAAGAAGGAGAAGGTCGTTGCGAGAAGAAAGCCTCTTCTCGCCGGGCGCCTAAGAAATACAGACAGCCTCTCTTCGATCGTTTACAATACTCTTTCTGTTTCTTTATTTTTGGTATTACGAAAATACATGCATTTACGAGTAGTACGGGGTTAGGTGTAAAATTCACGAGACCGTGTGCGTCCACGAGAGTGTGGTCGTCACCGACGTCGCCGTCGTCGTCGTCGCGATCGACGAGGAACAGAGAGTGGACGACAGCGACGATCGAGAAACAACGTGGTTCGAGATTGATGCGCCGACGCTTTCTTCCTTATTCAAAAATTGCGGGCATTTCCTTAAATCTAAGCATAAAGTAAAATCAGTCACGGGTAGTGTTTTTCCTTTTTTTTTTTTTTTTCTATCGCGAAACGAACAACTGGCGAACAGTTTGCAATCGAGAGTCGCGATTTACGAAAGATAGAACAGGGCGGGGGGTACAATCGAGACCAGCGGTGTATAAGATAGCTGGAGATACTTTCTAAAAAAAAACAAAAGGTATTTGCTCGAAAACCAACCGAAGAAAAAAGCAAATCTTTCCCCCCCTTGTCCAAGCAATCTCGCTAGTTTGCCACGTTCGTAATTCACTTGTTTACCAGAAATCGATACCGTGTGTATTAAGATGGATTTACACAGAGTGTTTCCAGGGTGTACCGTCAGTTCGGAAGCACCCTGTTTTATCCGTTCGAACGCGAAACGGTTACAGAACGGTTCCGTTCAGGCAAAGACACTTAATGTTTATACCAACAGTTTCTGTCTGACAGCGTCAGACGTAAGTACAATAGTTCTCCGTTCAATGTTTTCACATTTATCTCGAAAAAAGCTAGTCCGCGTAGCATTATTATTAGATGAAGGTGATATGAAAAGAAAACGTCGTTATTCTTCAGGCATCTGTTTGAAACGTAACGTCCTATTGTCCAGCGTAGGGGCCCCTCACGCGTCCGCTTCCCCTTCCAACCGTTCTCTCGCGGGGCGTGTCCCCGTCGTCAAGGAAACCGCGCGACACGCCTCCGTCGTCAAGGGAACCGCGCGGCACGCCTCCGTCGTCAAGGGAACCACGCGACGCTAAAGAGGCAGCCACGTCAGTCTAGCGTTTCCGTAGTCAAAGAAGCTTAGCAGACACCACGCGCAACGTATTACCTTCTCAGCCGTGTCCCAGTACCCCGTAGTAACGGCGGACGATGATGGGTAAAGCTACATATAAACAGTCGCGTTTTATTACCTACGATAATGTTCGTCTGAACGGCACCGTTGTTCCTGTAACCGTTCCGTGTCCGAACGGAAAATACAAATCCACCTCGAATGGGAAAAGAGAAAGATGATTATTGTCTGGCTGTGAAACGACGAAGAGAAGTGAATTACGAAGGTCTACAGCTAGGCGAGGCAACCTCTCTCTCCGGCGCTCTTCTCTCCACTTGTCTCGTCGTCGAATTGCACGGAACACGCATCCATCCGGAACCGGTTAGAGGAGTAGGCACGAGGAAGCTTCGACGCGGATTAAGGCAAGGCGCGGCTTGGCGCAGCGTGGCGACGTCTCTCTGACGCTGTTCAGAGAACGTTCGAAACGGCAGGTTCAGGTGTTTGGCGACGTGACCTTGAAGTGTTGCTCAGCCTGGTGGGCGTGTAGAATGAAGGCCTTGAACGCCGCGAACGGACAAAACTGACACTTGAACTGCGGCGGTTCACACTTGTGTTTCAGATAGTTGCTCCACATCTTGTAGAACTTGCTGCACATTGTGCACGTGTAGCCGATTACCTGGTCGCCCATGTACATCTTCCGGTAGGCTGAAAGCAGAGGGACCAAGTTAGATGCGGGGACGAACCATGGGAAAGGAACGAAGGAGAGAAAGAAGAGGGCCGCGGCTTCTTCGAACGAAGCGCGTCTCCTACGACAAATTGGCCGTGCCGACGGTGTCACGCGTGATTTAATCAGGAGGGAAAATCGTAGGATCGCCAGTCGCGCGGTTTCATTTTCGCGGGACAATTTTCTATGGGTTAGGAGAGACCGAAGGTTAG